CTTTTTATATGGCTCACACTGTGGGGCCCCTCTCTCTGCTCAAGGTGCTAGCTACTACAGCAGCTCAGGGGAAAGAAAGGAAAGATTTATTGCATTACAGCTTTTTAAACAAAATACACTAGGAAACCCAGGTACCATGCAATTGTAGTCCTCTAGGGCATGAGTTCTGCTACCTTTGYTATCCAGCACTTAGATTAGATAGACAGTAAAAGGATTGGTAATTACAAACAGAAATTCTGCATGAGCAAAAATGCTCACTGTGATAAAACTGTAGCCAGATACAGATACATGTCTGATAAATTTGAAGGACCATAACTTATTAAAGCACCAGCAAACAAACAAGTCTGGATTTATAGATATGTGTGTGTGTGCATAATACAGTATCTCAGTACCTGTATTTACCAATTCATATAAATGGAGAGCACAAAGCAACATTAAAAAGCAGAGGTTTGGAATAATATTTACTAATGTTCCTATGGAAAACATTACAAACTGAAAAAAGAAACCTGAAAATTTAAAGATACTAAAGGCATGGAAACTATTGAGGCAATATCCACTAAAATTTGATAAAGATTTAAACCTAGAAAACTCGGTGTGATTTGGTTTTGCTTCTATTTGAAAGTAATCAGCCTCAATTTGATCTTTCCCTTTCATGATGKCAAACCCTGACTAAGGATGGCCTGGATTCCAGCCCCCAGACACGGAGTTTGTAGAGAAGAATGGCAGCGAGCAGAAATGCAGAGCATCGGAAGATCGATACCCCTTGTCACCGGGCAAAGGAAAACACGACACGGTGTGCACAAGCGCCACCAAGAGGTTCTTCTGCCATCACCCGGAGATTTTCCCCGTGCAGCTCAGGCACATTCTCGACACCCTTGGAGCAGGAGCCACTCGCTCTCTCTGCTGCATTTTCGGCGAGCATTCCAAATGGAAAGCAAAGAAAAGGTTAGCTTATTTTTTAGCGGTTTCTTCCAGAGAAGGGAGGGGAAGAGGGGAATAGATATCTACAGCACATGCAGTTTTTGACTATGGAACGTTTAAACGTGGCAACAGAAAACAAGATTGCTGCCCAGTCCAGATCTGGAAAATGTTAAATTCCACCTTATCAGCCACTGAAACAGCATCAGGAGGGATCTGTTGCTGAGCTGCCTCACATCAAAATCTATGCAATCCTACTTTTTTCCTGTCAAATTCAATTGTGAGATTCAAACAGYAATAATATTTCTGTAGTGTGGTGTTGGAGATCATTTTAAAGGTAAGCAGAAATTTTGTTCAGGTGTTTTCATCATGGTGAGAAAACCAGTTTTGTCCTCAACACTGCCATTKTATGATCCAAAGAAAATGAGCTAAAAAGCCACAGGATTTTCATTCCTTTATAATGGTAATAAACYAAAGGGCAATTCCTCAAGCTCCAGKTTTTTGCTTAGAGGTGAGTATCCTCCTAATCTGCTTGGCCTTGCTGCTCTCACCAGCAAGCATCAGTGAGGCTGGACTCAATTCAGGGGTGAAAGCATCACCCAGACACTTGGAAAAGTTTGGTGAATGCTGGGTAAGGCTTGGCTGCCCTCCATGGGTCTGTGCCTCCTTTTACAAGTCCCTCTCTCAAAGTGGCAAATCGCCCATCCTAGTCTCATCATCTCCCACGAAGGGAAACCAGTCTGTGGGCTGCCCAGGAGCTGAAAGCTCWACATTTTCTCGAGGAATGGGAGAGAGGTTGAGACAGAGCCATGAATGAAGCCTCCCAGGTGAGAGTGCAGGCATGCCAGGGAGGTCTCAGGAGTGTCAGACTGCAAGCCACCTGCCTAAACCCAGAACTTGGAGCACTGGTTTGGACTAAATGGTCTCTGGGGGTTCCCTCCAGCCTCAGTTATCCCATGATTCTTCAACCCAAAAGGGTGGTGACGCCTTCAGGCTGGTGACAAAAAATACAAGGCTCAGGCTGGAAGAGCCCTCGGTGATGGCAGCTTTTGCCTCCAAGCTCATCACATCACCAAAGCACCTCCCAGGGTTGGGGGAAGGGAGAAGCCAAGRGGCTCCCACATACAGTACACAGCCAGGTAAGGGACTGGATGGTCTCAAGACAGAAAATATGGAAAAAAAAAATGAAACAGCTTAACAAAATTGTACTCTTTATTGCCACCCGTGTTGAAGCAAGTGTCTTGCCTATTCTTTAGTAGACAGGCAATTGTCAATATATTTTCCCTTTTCCACATCTCAGCTTCCAGGAGTGGTCAGAAAAAAGTACACAAGTTCCGAGTTCTCATCAAGGGTTGAGAACAAGGAGAAGCAGCACCATGGTTTTAACTTAGAGGGCACAGAACAGGCACACTTCTCTACACCATGCCTCACTGAATTCCATGCAAGTTCCAAGGAATCCAGTCATTTTCCCCACAGTTCAATTTCACCACCACCCATCAGGTAACATTTGCTGAGGGTTGGGGGAACTGGAGCTGAGGTCTTCATTTCCCGGCAGCTCATTCTCTCACCTAACTCCCAAGATTTAAGGTGATTTAAGCACTTCAGGATTAAAGGCGCTTTAACAGCTTATATAGATTTAAACATCTAAAGTGGCTTAAATACTTATGCTACTTTCAGGGCTTTAAAGTGGCTTAACTATCCATGGCACCTGATCAATWTACAGGCGTTCAAAAGCCTACACTGCCTTTAAAACAATAAAAAACACCTTAATAAATTTTAAAAAGAGATATACCTTAAAACATCATTATGTTTAAGGAGTGCAGTCCTGCTTGGTTCCTGCTAGGTCGGTCCAAGCCTCCAGCCTCCCGCCTTTCCCGGGAGGTGGATCCCAGCCCCTTACCTGTTCGGGGCGGGGCCGAACTCCCCGGGGAGCGGAGGGGCGGCCCCACTCCTTCGTTCCGTTCCCAATTAAGCCTGGGACAGTGGGTGTTTATTGGCCCGAACGCTTGYCGCCCCCCGGGGACGCTCCAGGGCCGCGTTCATTTCAAATCAAAGCTTAATCCAGGAAAACGTGTGGTTTTTCCGTTTATTTCATGTGGGCTGGAAACAAACAAGCGAACAGTTCTGGTCAAAAGAAYGAGCAGGTTTCTGTCGGAAATGTCTCATCCTCCACCACAGAGGATGGTTATTATCTCCCGTCTAAACAGTCTGCTCGGAGTTGGGACTCTGCTTCCACACAGCCCAGCTGGCTGCATCTGTGGAAAGTGGCGTGCGGGGAATTTATGGAGAAGGCAAATTTTCTTCTGATCATTCTGAAATCCACCTGAAGGGGTATCAATGACTAAAAAATGAGAAGCAGTGAAAAAAAAGAGAGAGAAAAACAGACCATGAAGTTGTCCATTTTACAAAGACCTGGTGAATAGCCCGACTATTCAGGGTACGAGCAAACCTGCTGGTAGATTTCCTTCTGCAGGAGAGAAGTTTAGGGACAGAGGCTGGTAGAACCAGCACAAGGAKATGGAAGGGATATTCCTGGCATGTGGCAAAGGCTACAGCCTCTGTCAGTCCTCAGGACCTGGCGAACCAGGCTTAAATGGGCACCATAAGCCATCAGAGGGACTCAGTGCTATGGAAGGCACCTGAGGCCAGGAGCTCACATGTGCTCTGTTTAAAGGTAATTAATGGCGAGAATATGTGGCACTGTTAGAAACAGACTTCTTTTAAGCCTTATCACAAGTGATACTAGACATGTAGGATATTTATTTTCCAGGTATCAAACAACTGTAGGAGAGGCRCTGGTCTACAGGGAGATTACTTTCATGAGCTTGGCCCACTGGAAAGGATCTTGGAATCTCTGAAAGACCTGGCACTGGCTTCACCGTGTGACAGCTGCCTGCCTGGGGCAGCACTGCAGCCATTCCAGCCTGGCAGCCCTGTGCCTTCCTGGTGGGAATGCTGCAGGTCCCCTGTCATTCCTATGCCACAAGCAATGACTCACATCTCTGGGAGCCCAGTCTGGAAATTGGATGTCCARGGATCCTGCAATTACAGAAGTCATCATGGCTAAGGCTATCTGCCCATAAAACATCTCTATAGGGAGAAATATTCAGTAGCTGATTAATGAATGTGGTTTACCACAAAATGATACTACACAGGCCTACTCTTTTCAGTAATAATCTCATAAATAATATTACTTAAAAATCCAAGAATTATCCAAAGCACACTGAAGCTGGGTTGTGATCCCACTGCCTTGTCTGTTGTCTTCCCCTTGGTGGTAAATCAGCACAAACACAATTCTTTATGGGAGTTTCTAGGTGAAGACAGGAGCGAAGGGGAAGGGCTGTGCCTGCGCTGCACAGAGCCAGGCCCGCGCTTTCAGCCTCAGAAAAACGTGCTGGTATTTCGAAAGCACTTGGATGCTTCCACTCGGGGAAAACCCCCACTGGCAGTCGGGAGCCATCCAGGGGCTGGAGGGCCCGGGTCCGCTGCAGGCCCCCGCTGCTGGCAGAGGCAGGAGGCGCCGGGGGAAGGAGGAGGGTCCCGCCCGGCAGCCCCCAGGGCTGGGCAGTGCCGAGCCGGAGCGGGGCCGGGAGTGCCGGCAGCCCCCACTGACCGCCTGCAGCTCCAGCGCCGGGCCGAGCCCTGCCAGCATCGCGGGGAGGGGCCGGAGGTGCCAGACACCCCCCGGGGGCTGAGGGAGCCGCCAGCCTCTCCCCTTGCCCGGGAAACGGCGCGGCCACATCTCCCGTCCGCTGGCAGCGAAAGCTCCGAGCGTGGGCACGGGGTGCCGGGGGGAGCGGGGGTCCCGCCGCTCCGCAGCACCGTGCCGGAGGCAGAGCTCACCTCCAGCTCCCCGCGGCCCCCGCCCAGCACGGGAGCTCCTCGGGGCTCTTTGTTCGCGGGGATCTTTCCCTCCTTCCCCGTGCTCGCACGGTAATGCTGCTCGCAAGGATTTCCTGCCAAAAGACAATCCCCCTGAGCAAAAGCAGACCGAGAAAGTAGTGACCAATCCTTTCTGGATGGCTGTCACCAGGCTCCTCCCAGCCCCCGCTCCCCCTGCTATTTGCATACAAAAAAATCCAGAAAACTCCCGTTTGCCCCAGCATCTCGCTCAGACCCTCCGTCCCCGGCTGGCAGCAGGAGCCCGGGCTGGGGGACGCTGCCTGCGGCTGAGGTAGCGTCGCGCCGCCCGCCCCGTCACCCCGGCCCCCCGAGCCTTTCGCCGGCCCCCCCTCCACCTCCTGCGAGCCCCAAAATGCAGCGCCGCCTCTGCGCCCTTCTCCTGCTGGCGTCCCAGTGCATGGGCTCGGCCGCCGGGCTCTTCCCCTTCGGGGAGCCCGACTTCTCCTACAAGCGCTCCAACTGCAAGCCCATCCCCGCCCCGATGCTGCTGTGCCGGGGCATCGAGTACCAGAGCATGCGGCTGCCCAACCTGCTGGGGCATGAGACGGTGCAGGAGGTGCTGGAGCAGGCGTCCACCTGGATCCCGCTGGTGCAGAAGCAGTGCCACCCCGACACCAGGAAGTTCCTCTGCTCCCTCTTTGCCCCCGTCTGCATCGACGACCTGGACGAGATCATCCAGCCCTGCCACTCGCTCTGCGAGGAGGTGAAGGAGAGCTGCGCCCCGGTGATGTCCGCCTTCGGCTTCCCCTGGCCGGACATGCTGGACTGCAGCCGCTTCCCCAAGGACAACGACCTCTGCATCCCGCTGGCAAGCAGCGACCACATCCTCCCCGTCACCAGGGAAGGTAAGAGGGCGCGGCCGGGTCGCCCCCGGGTGGGCAGCATGTGCCCCCGATGAGCCGCCCCGACAGCGGGGTCCCTCCCCGGCTTTCCGCAGGGAGACGAAGGCGTCTTCCTTAAGTTACAGCCCTCCCTGGTGCTCCGGGACAGGGGGACGGGGAAGTGGCCGCAGACCAGGCTCAGGGAGGCTTTTCCAAGGGGGCCGGGGAAATCGTGGGCACCATCGGGGAACTGTCACCGGCCTGCACCCGTCTCTGTCTTGAAAAAGAAGGTCTGGGATTCGGCACTGGAGCCGCGCGGCATCCAGAGGGTCGMTAGCCTTGTGCGCGGGTCGTCGCTGTAGCGAGGAGCTGGGGTGCTCTGTGTCGGTTCGACCTCCCTCCCTACCACTCTTTTACTTTTTTCCCCGTTAAAACAAAAACTTTKGGTTGAGGCGTGGCCTTAAAAGCCCACCGTGACCCCTGCAGCGGGTCTGCAGCGAGGTAGGGCGCCTCAAAGTGCTCGGGCAGCTCCAGGGCTGGGGGTGTGGGAGCAGGGTCTGGGGTGAAGGGATGGAAAGCTGGCGTTTCCCAAAGGGTTCCCAACGCCACCTGCTGTTCCTTTCTCCTCGGGTCTGACGGGGACTGTTGCTTGCATTTCCAGCGCCCAAGGTCTGTGATGCCTGCAAAAACAAAAATGAAGATGATAACGACATCGTGGAAAACCTCTGCAAAAACGACTTTGGTAAGTGGAAGCAGAACTCCTGTCGCTTGAAACTTGAGAGTCGATGATCAGGTACAGCTCCCAGTGGAGTCAGTAAGAGATGTGCCTGAATAAAGGCAGGGCTTTGACCTTCGGGACATCAAACATAAAATTCCACCTTGGGGTAAAAAGCAGCCCATTTTATCATTCTCTTCTGTTTACTGTTTTGAAGTAGTGCTTTTTTATGTGGATGTTGCTGGCAAGCCCAATAGTAAGTAAAACAAAAATTTAAAAAAAAAAAAAAAAAAAGAAAAAGGATCTTTCATGCAGACTATTGCCTGGGGAGAAGCAGAGCAAAGCTTCATTTAGATGTTTGAGGCAGAGCCGCATGACCAATCTCAGTGTATCGTAAGAAAGACTCTCTCCACAGRTTAAGAATGAAGCTCTATATATCATTTGACAGAGAAGGTAATGCACAGACAATTGGGGATATAAACTTAATGGGAAGATCTGGGGTTAGAAGAGGACAAGAAAGCCCCTTCAACACAGACAACTGAAGGACACATTATCCACACATTAGCATTTCAAGAGCAAAAGGGAATAAGGAGGGGAATCCTTTTACAATAGGTCAGTGTTTAATACCTGGAAACAGATTTGTGGTCTAAGTATCGACAATGATTCAAAAGTCTTTCTTTAAAAGAAAACAAAAACCCACCCAAAATCTGAAACCATGATTGTRGGGCATAATTGCTAAAACAACCAATAGTTTTGGCCAGGCAAATTGCACTCGGATAAATCCTCCTAAAGCTAAACATGCCCCACAGCTTCTTACAGAGTCCTGTATCCCCCTCCTAGTTATTTTACCAAATCGAATGCAGCTGTTGGACCAATTTGYCCTCCATGGGATCCATTCTTTCAAAAAAACAATGCATGTGAAATATCATTTCCTTACAGGTTTGCCTAAAATCCTCTCCAGCCTAATAAATTACGTGTAGAAGTTTTGAGCTGCAGCAGAGATCAGGTTTCAGATTAGGTCTAGGTACTTGCCTCCCCACCTCCCCTTCAAACACTACTTTCAGGAAGGCTGTCCTCTCCCAGCAAAAAAAAAAATGGTGCTCTGCTTAGTGTAGCAAACCTTCCCTCTCTGTTGCAAACAGGAGAAAAGCTGGAAAAAATATTAATTTAAAAGGGAAGGGGAAAGAGGGGGAGGGGAAAGAGGAGAAAAGGAATCCAAAAAACCTCAACCCTAAGGTTGAATCAAACTGAAATGACTTGCATGCCCTTTGTGGCTTTAGAAATGGAGCCACCTGCTGCCTCTTCTGTCAGCCCTGACAGTTTAATTAGCAATAGAGCACCTCCCTCCCCAGGTCCTCTTTATGTGCACTAATGGGAAAAAAACCTCTCAATCTCTCTCCCTCTCCCCACTTCCCCCTCCCCTCGCTCTATTAGCCTTGAAGATAAAAGTGAAGGAGATTGCCTACATCAATGGGGATACCAAGATCACCCCCGAAACAAAGAGCAAAACCATCTACAAGCTGAATGGGCTGACAGAAAGAGATCTGAGGAAGATAGTGCTCTGGCTCAAAGGTGGCCTCCAGTGTACCTGCGACGAGATGAACGACATCAACGTGCCCTACTTGGTGATGGGGCAGAAGCAAGCTGGGGAACTGGTGATCACCTCGCTGAAACGGTGGCAGAAAGGGCAGCGGGCTTTCAAGCGCTTCTCGCGCAGCATCCGCAAGCTGCAGTGTTAGTGGCTTCGTCTCTGGCTGTCCCCTGCAGCYGCCCCTGCCCCAAGCTCCCCGGGCCTCCCACACCTTCCCGCTGTGGCCCCTCTGAGCCTCGAGATGCCGTGGGCACAAGACACGGCRACCGCTCTCCGAGAGGGGGAAGAACCCCTCCATTTTTGTACATAGGTTAAAATGTAATAAAAAAAATAAATAATGACTATTTTTGGGAACTATTAAAATATCTCGCTTAAAGCATGGGGGGTTTTTAACGGTTGCAAACGTGACTTTGGTCTGAGGTGTTTCCCTCTAGGTTTTGGTGATGCTGGTTCATTTATATTGCTGCTTCTCTGTATACGTGCATGTTTGTTGTGCCGCAGTAGGAGATGCAGAGACAGCCACGCGTGCGGCCGGCCTGTCACCGCGGGCGTGAGGTGAAATGGCTCGCCGCCTCTATTAGCGCTATAAAGGTCACGTTACGACTCTTGCATGTGATACATAGGCACCAGTAAGAGTATATTAACCATTCTCACATTTTATTTTCCACGAGTCTGAGCCCTTCTGTCTCATAAAAAGAAAAAAAAAAAAGAACAAGTTTTGGAGCTGGTTGATCTGAATGCAACTTTTTTTTTATTTTAATTTTGCAAATTAAACCGTCTGTAGCCTAACTGTAACATACCTAGTGGTTAACCCAAAAGAGTTGTAAAATATTGCTTTAATTAACCTTGTAAATACTCCAGATAAATGTTATATTCTTGTATATAAACTTTACATCATAGTTTACTCATTGTCTCTGTCTGTATTCACTTCAATCCACTTTGGGAGAACTGGGAGAAAGCTGTCCAACAGGACTTTGTCATGGCTCACCAGAATTTGTCATTCTACCCTAAGTAGCCAGTAGAAAAGCAAAAGGAAGCCTCTAGTGCTGCAACCAGAAAATACATAGTGGACCTCATTTCCCTGAAGAWGAGCCCACGAGACACAGGACTGAGGTTCAGTCAGCTCATTTTAATATGTGTCTGTTGAGCTCTTGGAGTTGAGGCTTCTTTTCTGTGAGGCTCCKTTGTTCGACTGCCTGCATTTTCTCATCATCTCAGAGGACTTCCCTGACATGGAATTGCAATGAGACCACTGTCTTAAAAATTGGATCAATTTTTCCATTTCTTGAAAAGGACATATTAAGGAGAAAAATGTCAKTTGCAACTTGGAATTCAGAACAATGGTAGAGCAAGTCATTTTTTTTGTGTGTATGTACACTCACTATTCTTACTGAGAAAGACAATAAAATCTACCTAAGAGTATAACTAAATGAACGTTTTTCAGCAATTTTCTTACAAATGTTTTCTGATGAAGAGTATTACCTGAATTTTATCATACTTACCYTGAAAAATAATAATGTTTCTCAGTGCTGTCACACGTAGAAAATTCTTCTTAGCTTCACTGACAGGATGAGCAGTCCCATCTCCAAGAACAACATTTTATGTTAACTCTTCACTAAGAGAATACAAATCCAACATTAGATTTTTCTTTCAAGTAAAAAAATATCACATTATTTTCGTAGATTTAGTGTTATTTTTTCACCATTAGGATAAAAAAAAAAGAAATCTAAAGATCTAAACATGGTACATTGTTTTGGAAAAAAAATATTATTTGCCTTCTCTCACAGTCTTAATGCATTCATTACACTTGGTACAAGCAGTAGTAGGATGCTGACCAAGAAAGTAAACAGCAATCCTTCCAAATGTCCTCAAAAAAAAAAAAAAAGGAAAAAAAAAAAAAAAAGAAAAAAAAAAGGAAAAAAGTAGCCAATCACCAAACAAAAAGCCCCATTCAATACCGTCTCTGAATTATTTTGTGGAATGGTATCTGTATTTAAAGGCCAATACCTTGCGGAAATGTCATTAAAACTTTTCTTCTGAATGAACCTGACCTAAGAGAAACCAGATTTGACTCATTCCATGTTCCAGTGTAATTATTTTAACAGCAGCACTATGTCCATCATCTCACAGAGCCATTTGAATTCAGTCTTGCCACTCTGCCCGTTCTCTGAGCACACGCTGCAGTGTCTGTGCCTGAAGAGCCTTGGTTCCAGGGGGAACAAGCTCACAGGCACAGAGGAGCTGTCTGAAGATGAACCTGCAGGGAGCTGCCATGTGTGGAGGAAAGCACTCGTAAAGGAGAGCACTTTGAGGAGGGAGTTGTTCCAAYGCAGTCACTGGGGACTGAAAATGAGCAGCCAGGACTGCTGCACACAGCCTGACTTACAGATACTCAGTTGTCCTACAGCAGCTGTAAAATTATCTTAATTGGGCTGTCCTGGAAGGCAGCAGTGCTGATGCTGATGAGGACAGACAGGTCACAAGTTRCTCGCTCTGGGGTCATGCTAAGGCCAAGACGATGTAAGAGATTTTTGCCAAATTACTTAAATGTATGAAGACATATTACCTAATATCAACAGTGCCCTGTCTTTAAAAAAACTCCATACCACATTCCCCTTCCTCTCTCACAACATAAACACTATTAGACCAGCAAAATCCTGTTTCTGTCAGGACAAATTCAGAAGAGCAAACTAAACTGGCAAACATTCAATTTCAGTGGTACAATCAGCGTCCTGGATTAAGAGCATCCTGCCATACAGATGCCCTACTGATAAAACCTTCTGCATGTGGCCCTTGGCTGAATCACTCGGACTGTCCACCCTCAAGGTGAATTGGCAGGGGTAGGATTACCTTTCAGATAAACAGGATTTAGGCAAATGGGAAGAGTAATGGAATTCACCCTTCCCCACAATTCTATCACCTTGTTCTAACAGTACTGTATTGTAAGATTTTCATGTCCGCCTCTCTAAGAAGAGAAGTATAAACATTTGTTGAACTGTTTGTAGTGGTGCAAAAGCCAGACACTATAACTTATTCAGCTGGAAATTAGGAATTTAAAGTCACAGCCTGAGGAAACTTCATCTCTCAGATACTGGCAAAGAAGTAAACACATACATTTTTATTCTTACTTGCTCGAAAAKAACTGAAAATCTTCAATTGTGCCAGGAAAATACTGAGCCAAACATATAACAAAAATTATCAGAGCCTGTTAATTCTCATCATTGTGTCATATACACTTCAGAGTAACTTTATCACCTGGTATGGTACGGGTTCACTCCTAACAAAATTTTTTACAATTGATGAAAAAAGGCAACCCACTGCTGCATTTTTTCAGACACTTTTTGTCTTTCTCTAAATAAAACAACATTTTTATGCAGCCAATTACATAGCTTCCATTGTATTTGCTTTCATAARAACTATAAAAGCAGCTGACTACAATGGATTAGTTTAAGAACAATAATAATGACACTTGACATTTATGCAGAAGTTTCCATTTAGTTTCTCAGACTGCCTTCACAAAAATAGGCATTGATATCCTTCTTTTGCAGATCAGGAAAATGAGGCASAGTGAAGCGAAATAACTCATTCAAAACCACCCAGCAAGTCTTTTACAGTCAAGRAAAACAGAGTATTTTTTTCTCCAAGTTTTATGCTCTAATCGCTAGCCCACAGCAATCAGAATGATGTATAATCAAGGYAGCACTTAGATTATAATTTGAGAGCACAACAACAACCAAGGTCCCCTCCAACTTCTTCCCCCAAAGTGTGTAAAAAAAATGACTGCCCAAATTCAAATTTAAAACCCATCAACAATATTCCTCAGTCTTTCCCTCTCTTTCTTATTGATCATTCTCTTTATCCCTTAATTATTTCTTAATCCTTTTTTTTTCTCCCTCACTTCTCATTCACTTCAGACACCCACAGAGCCTCTCTCTCACCCCTCTCATACAGACACTTCTGCCTTCAGAATCGTTTAATAAGAACTAAGTTATATGGAGTATAACTACATAAGCCACAAAAATCCTAATGACCAGCTCAAGACTTAAAAAGACCCATGTGGAAAATCCAGCAAGACATGTAAATTTAATTATTGATTTTCTGTGACAACAGGACAAGTTAGATGCCAGAAGGAGAATCACAGACATGTGCTGGTCACTTCAGGCCAATGCACCTATTCTGCAGCAGGAGAACATAAAGATATTTGAGGAATATGTGAGCAAGAATGAAGAACACAGACAAAACACACCTTCCCTTGCTGACCAAGMCTCCTGCATTTCTCTCTGTTGTTATAACCCTTTGCTCTCTAATCTTGGGCCWTGGAGCACCTCTCTCAACCCTCTTCCAGACGTCTCACTACCTCTCTTCAGCCAGCAAGGGTGTCAACCAAGAGCAGAGCCACCAAGACTCAGGGTAAGGGACCACCATGTTGTCCCCTGGGTGCCTGCTGGGACATGAACAACCCCGCTGCAGCTGGCAGGGCTTGACTTTTCTGCTTTGGCAACCCTCTGCCATTCTCACCAAACCTGCCAGCTCTGAGAGCCTTTGTGATGCGGCCACAGCTGGCAATGCCAGAGGAAGGGCGATGGATTGATTGCTACCAGAGCAGTAGGCAGCCTTCCCTAGCTTGGGCAGCCAGACTTTTGTTATTGGAGCCAGGAGTTCTTATTTCTGGGCTTCAGAGGCCTGCCTATATGATTTATCTAGAAGTTGGTTTCTTATCAGCAGATGTAGTTTCAGTACAGCCTGACTGTCTGGTGAAACAACCACAGGAATGGATCTTGTTTGCCTCTGTACAAAGAGGAGAGTGCAAGATACTCACATCTCAGGAATCCAAGACCCCAAGCTCTCTTACAAACATAAATTAGCCCACACTACATCCCTTTGGGGTGAGTTTAATAGAGTAACATTTTCCAAATGCATCAATTGCTTTCAGGGTGAGCCATGGGCTCCTAAATCACCTGGATGCCTTGGAAAATATTATCCGCTATCCCCCAGCRGAGCTGAAGCCAGTTGGCCGGGGTCAGCAGCACGCCTGTCACCCCGCCAGGARGAACACCTCAGCAATCAGCCAGCCAGCCCATCGCTCTCACCACTGATCCAAATAACCAACCAAGGCAGAAACTCCAAGGAGCAAACTCCAAACCRATCACTGCACACAGAGCAGCTGTCCGGCCAGAAAGGCCAGCACAAGCTGGAGGTGCCCTCCGTGTCTTACAGGACAGATACGAGAAGAAGCTTATCTGCCTTCTGAAACTCACAATAAGGGGATTCTATTAATGCAGCTCTTCCAAAACCCAGATGCTGCAGATCATCCTTTTRGAGTCATTTTCAGACCACA